TCGTACAAATGAAAGATTTCTGTGTATATGTGCTTTAATGAAATCTGTCTGATCCGGTCTCCTCAAGACGGATATCTACCAGGTGATGACCCCCTCAAAATTTTACGGTTAGCAGTAGAAAGGGGAAATGTGTTACTTTTAAAGTTGCGATTACACGTAGCAGAATATTCGTTTTTCCTCAGCTACCTCATGTGTTATGGCCTCACACTGTGCGCCATCGATATATACGTTTATCGGAGGCGTGGAAAATTAACTGTTGCTTTCTGGTCAATAAAATATACACACAGTTGTGTGATATGGATGGGCTGATTGGCGTCTACGAGCGCTTTTGTCGTGATATTTTACTGAGCTTGACATAAGTAAAGACCGCAGTATCAGCTGTGTTATCTAGAATGCCGCTACTTCGCGATAACTGTTTCAATCACCTGACTTACAATGTTTACTTAGTAAACCCGGAATGCTCCCGTGTGCGCAGCACTCCAAGTCTGGTATAGCACAGCCAAGGATAAATCAAGGGGCCAATCAGCTGGAGACGGCGACGAATCCCAGGCTATAGACGTGAAATGTTCGCCTCATGACATTACAATGACCTAATTCACGCGAGATGACCATGTCAAATCATACACACCTTAACTCCTAGATAGTTCACTGATACGATTGAGCGTATCAAGCCAATGGCACTGCTTGTTCGTTAGTTTCCGTCTAGGAAGAAGTACGAGTCGATTGACGGTTAGATGTGAAGTCAGCGATTTCGTGTGCTATTTCCAAGTGGAAGGCTGGCCATCACGCGGTCGCCTCCAGCCCGGTCTTGCACGAGCGAATACAGCGCGGCGTGTCAAACGCTCTGGCGTCATGCATAGGACGTGACCGAGGTCTCAAATAGTGCAGTAGAAACTTCTTATTGAAAGGAATACTCGCCTTTCCCAGAATGCGACGTCGAACGTCTTCATTGTAGACTCGGTGTTACCAGCACACGCACACATGGGGTCCACCTCAAACAACCGTTATCGAAGGCGTATTGGTCAGGGCTCACTTCCATACAACACTCAGCGAACGGAAACAATGTAAACGCGCTCTTTGCTGAAATGCAGACGTCCGGACGACGCCACAAGTACCCAAGATTGACACATACTGCCCGTGCTCTAGCAATGCGGAAAGATGCTTCCTTCTGTTAGTGTCGCCAACAGCGACACATTTTCCAAGGTGGAGGAAACCATGTACCTGTTCAACTTGTACACCTTTAAGCGTGAGCGCGGGAGCGAGTGTGAATTACAAACACAAATTCACAATCTTGAAACAGCATTTTATACTTGGAGGGGCGAAGCAGGTGATGTACCTAGATGCCTCAAGCGCCATATGGTTCATAATGGGTTACATACTTTGCAGACCGTCACCAAGTAAGGCGATATCATCAGCCTAATCTCAGTCGGTCACGCGTTCACGCTACAGTACCTCTAATCTGAAATTACGGAAGCGTTCTAGAGCTCTCGAAGAATAACGGGGACATAAGACAGCACTGTTGCACATCGCCATTTATAGCAAAAAGCGAGGAAAGCTTGCCGTGGACCATCATACCGCTGAAGACATGGTTAAAGTGCAAATAGAATGACGGTATACTTTTCTGGGACCTCGTTCTTCAGCAAGCGACGCCATAAATTAGGTGGATCAACCGAGTCGAATGCAGCTCGGATGTCTAGGAACGCGGTGATACTTGGTCTGTAATAAGCGTGGTGGTGTTCGAGGAGTTAGCTGAGCGTGAACATTTGATTCACGCACCCACGGCTGGGACAGAAACCAGTTTATTCTTCACGGTAATATGGTCCACGTATTGACGATAGCCTGCGAGGCAGGATGAATGCCAGTAACCTGGAGACAACCGAGATGAGATTTATCCCTCCAGAAATGACGCATCAAGTGTGAGCGCCTTTTTGAAAATCGGGACGATAACTGATTCGGCTCAAGAGGAAGAAAGTTCCTCTACATACAAGATTTTAGAGAACATCGAGGTCAGCTGGTTAACGATTACTACTCCGCCGTACTTGGAAATCGCCGGAGGAATTCCGTCTTAGCCAGCAGTCTTGAATCGTTTTAAGTGTTGAATCTCGAGATGGACTTTGCTTCGCTGCGTGAGTCCAGTGGGACGAGCCAGGGTAAGCAACTGCGTATGTTACACGCACAGCTGGATGGTGGGGACCAGTTAAATGCATGTGAATGTTCTCTGCTCAGCTGTCCAAACACTGCTGGTTGGTAATCAGAGACCCATCCGCCTCGCAAATAGCCTCACTGACACCAGTTGAAAATGGTTACGAGTATCATTTGAGAGGGAGACGGTTTGAATCACTCTCAGACCCCAAACACTTGCGATCCTTGCGCAGGCTTTGCTTTAACTGCTGTCTGGCAGAGCGGTGCCGCTCGTCGTAATCCGCTTCTGCCGAGATACCCGCTGAGGTCAAACAGCTCCAGGGAGCTAGCAGATATCCAAGCCTTTTAACGGCGTCGAGCCAGGTCGCAGCTTTATTATTCGGAAGTGATCATTGTCTTCGGTATACAAGTCCATTGTTATGTCAAAAGGAAATTACGAAGAATTTTCTTTTTGATAAATCTCTTTCAGGCAATTGCAGTTATGAGCTTCGTAATCATTTTACAGTGGCTATTGCTACCGATGCGACACAAAGTCGTGAATGCTGCGATCAGATGAACTGTGGCAATCTATGTCTATTTGAAACCACTACCATTGACCACTATGCCAGAAGTCAGGTGACCAGGCTAGGGCCACGGTAGGGTTAAACTCTGTATAACTGCACGCTGTTTGCACAGTTCCGGCTTCAGTTGCTTGATCGCAATTGCTTCCGCTGTAGCCAGTAGGCGCTTCCTGAGTCCTTTTGTGCTGCGTTTTGCTGCTACATACACTATTTTGAAGGCCACTTTCGTTTGTATGTTATGTCCACTATCTACTAGGTGTTCTATGATGGAGCTGTGGTACCACGCTGTGGTGGGTACCACGCTGTAATGAGGCAAGGCATTGTTCCGCTATCCCCTTCGACAGACGTCTGCTTGTGTGTCCGAGGAATCTCCCACCATAAGTGCAAGTGAATTGATATGGGATATAGGATTCGAACTGGGCCGGAATTCTGTCTTTTAAGCGGTTGGTGATGAGCGGAATGGTTTCGGCGTGAATGCGAACTCTGGCTGCCGGGTACGTTTGCTTTAGCGTGAAGTCAGTTTCCTACTCAAGAGTTCGAACTGTATGTATGAATAAGTTGCGTTGGCTCGGGCACATGCTACGCATGCCTGGTCACCGCTTATCTAGGAGGGCCTTGTTTAGTCTGCCAGGTGTAGGGTGGCGCAAGGCTCGCGGTGGACAGAAGTTGACTTGGCAACGGGAAATGAAGTCACTGACGACCAAACTGGGTGCCGTTGGTCCGTCTCGCCTTCCGGGCTGGAGTCCACGTGACTCGTCTTGTGCTTGGCTCGAGACTTTACAGGACATGGCTCGCAGTAGACACCAGTGGCGCGTCTGCTGCCGTCTCCTAATCGGATTGCCTGTTTAAAGTGTGTTTGATGCTGAGTTATCTGAGGGGTAATGGCTGATTATGACGCGTGGCAGTGAAAGCCGCAAGGAAGCTGTCTCGCCGATGCCGCCTTATCTTTGCACGATAGCCAGCTGTTTGTGACGGTATGTTGTTAACACAAGGTGTGGGCGCCTTGACCCTGAATGTTTGCTTTGGGCATTAAGGTTTTCAGATAAGCCCCCCTTCTCTCTCTCTTCTTATTCTTTATTTCATAGGTCCGCATGGTTGTATGGCAGCGAAGCATCAGTTCAAATGGTTGATGTACTGCTGTTGATGATGATGATGACGACGATGATGATGATGATGATGCTCCTTTGAACGGCACTGAGAGGAAAACATCTTTCCTTCTCACGGTCATTTTCGGCTCAGGCTCTGCTCGGAGCTGGGAATGCTTTTTGATGAAAGCAGTTGGATACCCGTTGCTTTCCAAAATCTTGAGTATGAAATTCTTTTCCGCTTCCAGTGTCTCAGGGCTGCAAATCCTTGTAGGCCGATAATACAGGCAACGTACTAAGTTTCGTTTGTACTTTATCGGTACGAAAATGTTGAAGTGCGTGCACTGACCTACCCAGGTTGGCTTGCGAAAAGCCTTTCTTTCAATGTCTTGTGGTCGTTTGCGACTGAGTCCACCTGCCAGTGAAGACTGATAGCTCGCCTGGACCGATAAATCGGCTAATATGTTCTCATCAATCCTACGGCTTTTTGTTTATAAAGACTCCCCAAAACGCATGCAGATGTTCCCACAAACCAACGCATGATCTGGGTTATAAATGTGGACCGGTGCCTCAGCCCCACGCCTGCTAACCCGCTACCTCGATGTGCATGGTTTGGTACCATTGCACTCGATTGGGTGAACCCCCCTAGTAGTAATGCAGTGACCTATGCTGGATATATAAAGAACTGTAGCCGAGTTGCTACACGCAGTATTCCCGCACAAACACCTACGAACCGATATCGTACAGCCCCCCAGAGCCACTCTTGCACATGGCTTTTGTTTCTTGCTGTTTATCAGGCCACTTGAACCCAATTTTAGCCATTCCTCTCAATCTGCTCTCCTGCTCATTGTTTTCGTTTTCTTCCTTGTTTACACTATCCCTGTTGCTTATTTTTGTCACTCGTGGCCTTAAGGATCCCAAGCCTGCCGAGGTGGCGAGTTCGAGCCTGCGTAGGGGACCGGGAGACCCTCCTTAGCCCGCTCGCGACTGATGGTTGTGCGGCAGCGAAGCGTCGATACTGTTTACTCCCCGTACCGCTGATGCTATGATGCATTTTGTCACCTCACTGGCGCGCATTCTGGAACCCAAGTCCACCGCACCCCGACGCCTCAGTCATATTTACTTGAGCTGGATGATGCATAACTTCATTTCCTCCACAACATTTAAAGAGTTTTATTACAAGACAAGCCTCTTCTCTTTCCTTCTATCTCAGCCGTTTTGTTGTCCACTGTGTTGGTGGCATGGTCAAAACGTTTCAAGTGTATCTAAGCGCCCACGGAATCGGCTCAAGTCGGAGTGCCAGCAGCAGTAGCAGTAGCAGCAGCAGCGGCGGTGGCAGCGGTGAGGACGATCGGACTTATAGCTGTGTACATTGTCGCGCGCATCTGGCTCGGCATCAAGATCTGATCTCCAAATCCTTCCAAGGCAGTCAAGGTCGAGCGTATCTGTTTGACACCGTTGTCAATGTCTCATGCGGAAAACCGGAGGAACGACTCTTGCTTACCGGTATGTTTCCGTATGGTTTTGACATTTCCATGCATTCATCCCATCATGACAAGCGCTGTGTGTCTTCATAGTTTTGCAACTGAGCAATCCATTCCCGTATCTCCCATAAATTTCAGGCCATCCATCTATCGGAGCTACCGCACAAGCATAGACTGTGGTAGCTGGCATAGTTTCACGAGTCTTGTAACTCGACAGAAGCTCCTTGCGCGTGACTCGCTGCGCCAGGAGTGGATCCCCACATCCTTCACTGCAGCACATGGAGGCTCCAGTCTGTTCGTGTGAGGATATTTGACGTCTTCAGCGCTATGTGCCTCACTGCTCGCAAACTGTACGGTCGAATTTGCAATCATACGATGCACAGCAAAATGTGAGATTTTGCTCATCGACGTTGGTGATTTGGGTCAGTGATACCTCGAGCAGTGAGCGATCGCTAACGGTTTAGCACTCGAAACTACCGTATAGGGTTTGTGTGTGTTTCAAAATGATTTCTGACCTAGGGAGATGCCATTCTATATTTATCTGTCTCACATTTTATGCTGTGAATTGCATGACTGAAGACTCTTGTCGACCGAGCAGTTTCTTGAGATTTCTTGGCTTCTAGCCATATACTCCACCATGTATCAGCGGTTATCACCTTTGATGATTAGTTGATTGATCTTGTGTTTTAATCCATCACCCGTAACGTATCACTAACCTCAGCGCCGGGCCAAACTGCTAATCTTCCACCCACATGCAATTTGTAGTTGTAATGCCAGCGCCCGGTGGCGGAGTAGTCCAGGTCTATGGCTTGCACTCCAGAGGTTACCGCTTCCATCCTGTGTGGATGGGAGCATGACAACTCGTGATCCCTTTCCCGCGTGCGACTTGTGCTGTTCACATGCTAGCGAATCGCAGGTGCGATGTGCCCTCGTACTGCCGATGCTGTGGACCTTGTTTACATTTGTGGGACACCGGGTCGCATAATGGTTGTATCATCCAGGTGCATTTGTACTCTATGTTTCTACGTTAAATCGAACCCACCTAAATAAAATAAATACATAAAGTTTTATTTTCGATTACACCCATTTCACCCTCCTTCCAACTGCTTGCTGCGATGTGTCTTGTCGATGAGTCGTTACTACATCTTTCACATTTTATTGGGTGTTTACTGTAATTAGTTCCGTTTCGTTTCTCATTATTGCGTGACAGTAATGCGTCATCTCTTTTGCCTTGACGGCTACCATTATTGGGCAGTTATCGTGTTCCACTGTGTAAGAGTGCCGATTGATTGACTGTTTGTCATGGTGGGTGAGATTCAGCTCTCTGGTTGCATCCAATGACATTTGAGACAAACACCTCGCATATTCAGATGTCACACGCAAGCGGAGTTCACATTCGCAGTTCGGTCATCACCCTCACCGGCAGTACGTCAAACGCCGGTACTTTACAATGCCGAACAGAAAGCGTAAGCTGAATCCACCAGTTTTCCCCGGGCAGCCCCTCAATTTTTACATCTCAGTTCGAATTATGTGGTCATTCAGAGGGATAACTATCATCCGCGTACAATTGCCTTATATTCACATACGCGCTTCTCCTGACGCAGTTAGAAAGATGTCTACCGTATTTTTCGGACTATAAGTCACACTTAAAATCCTTGTATTTGCTAAAAAATCGGCAGTATGCCTTATTTTCCGGTGAGATTTAAGTATGAATGGTTGGGCTGAGGCCGAGTGAAATCGGAGCAATTTCTATCTTGACGGTGAGCTGAAGAATCTGTCAAACAATTTTATTACGACTTTGGTTGTCGAAACATAATCGCTGGTCAGGAACCTCGTGGAATCAGCATTCTATGTTGTCTAGACAGACTTATTTTGTGAATGGTGAACTCTGTGCAGGAGCCAACTGATTCGAGCTTTTCTGGCGGTGATAAACCAACCCACTATTCAACCATCCATGCTGATCTCCCAAACTGTGATATATGTGATGGTTACTCCGCCCGGCAAACTCACTTGGTTCAACAATGCACCTAGCAAACACTGCCCATAACACGCACCTGTATCTCGCTGGTTGCAGGTGAGTGTTTGAACACATGATCTGCGCTCACACCAGTGTTCCAAAGACGTGCGGTCATCCAGACAGTTGACGACGTCCGTGTGACCTTCACTCACATCATCCAAACTGAGGTTTTCGGGTAGACAACTGGAACCTACGTCATCGTGCGTGTACTACGGAGGGAGTAACAGTGCACTTACGGAGAAATGTGTGATAACATACACTCTGGTCAACATATGATAACATTTTTCAGCGCCAGTTGCATGCTGGCGATCAAGATGAAGCTGGTTCGCTTACCCCTACCACTTTTCCTGATACGTACTCTGCTTCAACATACCGGTAATTAAGGCCCCAAAATGACATCTATTAAGAGACATGCTTACGAAGCGGATTTCAAACTCAAGGCCATCAGCCACGCAGTGCACCACGGGAGTAGAACATCTACGAAACAATTCAACAGTAATGAATCAATGGTACGGAAGTGGAAGAAGCAAGAAGATGATCTCCGCCAAGCAAAGAAGACAAATAAGAGTTTCTGAGGGAAGAAAGCAAGATGGCCACAGTCAGGGGACAAAATTGAGCGGGGGATTACCGAACATAGAACAGCAGGTAGAAGCGTCTCTACAGTCTCCTTTGATTCAAGGCAATAGTGATGGCACGTGATATGCAGATGCACGACTTTCAAGGAGGTCCTTCTTGGTGCTTCCGTTTTATGAAAAGGCGTCATCTCTCCATCCGCACAAGAACTACCACCTCGCAGCAACTACCAAAAGATTACGAACAAGATCACTGAAAGGAAGATCCAGCCGGACCACGGACGCCGCGGATTTTTGGATCAACGTGTGCTGGATACTACTTTTGCCTCAGATTACTGTGTTAGCAGCGTTTCATCAGTGTGAATTGTGCACCATTATTCTTCTTTTGGTATATTTTCCAAGCGGTGCAAATTTGGGAGCTATTCTTTGGCTAATTCCGGAGATCTCACTGATTTGCCATACTGCCATCTCTGTCCGCCATCTTGGATTTGCTCTAGCTTGTGATGCCGTCTCAAGCTACTTGTGGTTCGTGTTCGAAAGTTGTGGGAAATAAGGCTCATGCACTTCGATGCTTCAGCTGTGATGTTTTGTTCCATATTTCGTGCATTGGCTTATCCGTTGACGTGTTTCGAAAATCGCTCGACATCCGACATCGGTTTTTTCAAGTTATATGTGATAAATGTCGCGGTACAAGACATCAGAATACGCAGCGACCGCAAACAACTACGGAAAAATCTCTCTTTCAGATAGAAACAAACCGTTCACCACGTGGGATCAAACGCCCTCGTGAAAGTACCTCTGTCACCTCGCCTACAATTGTCACTCCGCGATCTGCACCACCACCAGCGTCTTCGACCCCGGCCGAACCCCAGGTTCAATGTTTCCCACCGATGGAAGACTCAGAAGCTACGAAATGCTGCTTCACTGATCGGCCCGTGAATTTCTCAGAGCCTGTCTGTGAACTTCTGAACACCGAGGATCCATGGACCACTCAAAAGCGCAAGGGCCCACGTAATCGAGTTCAGACGTCACCTGCTGATAAACAACTACCCAATCAGTTAAGCACCTCTAGTTCTGCTCCCACAGGTTCATCACTGATTTCGCTGAGGCGTCATAATCTCATGGTCTTCCACGTACCGGAGTCAAAAGATGAAAACCCTCAGATACGTTATGATCACGATGTTGAGTTCCTCCAGGGGCTCATCGATAGACTCTTGGATGTGGGCGAGGACAGTGTGACGATTAAACAAGTAATCCGACTTGGACAGAAAACTAACCAGTCATGTCGATCTCTGAGGATCACCTTTGCAAATCCTAATATGCCGCAGCTCATACTGTCTCGTCTGTCAAGGCTGAAAGGCATAAAAGTTCACATCCGCCGAGATTTGGAACCCGAGGACAGGGATCGTTTGAAGACTGCGGTCATTGAGCTCAAACGCCGTACAGAGGAAGGTGAGACTGACTTACAAGTTGTAAATTTTCCGGTGATCTAGAAGGGTGTACGAACCCGTATCAACCGGTTGCTCAACCTCCAGGCAAGTCCCGCAGTACCTCCCAGGACCTCCGTGTCGCATTCGCCAACGTGTGCAGCCTAATGAACAAACGTGACGAACTGTGCCGCTTCGCTGTCTCGGAGCGGCCGGACATTTTAGGACTTGCAGAGACATGGCTGAACTCCGACATCATACCCCAAGAAGTCGTGTTGTCAGGATACTCTTGTTTCCAATGTGACCGAAAATCAAAGGCTCACGGTGGTGTTCTGTTGTACATAAAATCGTCACTATCTGGCAAACTTATCAGTACCTATCGGAGCGAGGATAGTTTATGCGAGAAATTGTGGTGCACAATCCGTCTCAGGCGCGCAGAACTAATTGTGGGGGTTATCTACCGGAGCCCATTAAACCGTTGCTGCGATTGGATACCACATGTACAGAAGCACATGAGCCGCCCTCAGTTCTTACTGATGGGGGATCTAAATTTACCTAAGCTAATTTGGCCAGATGTTAGACTTCTTCCCGGTCATGGCAACGTTGAGGCTCAATTCGCTAAAATGACTATAGAAATTGGGGAAACACAACATGTCATCCAACCGACGCGCGTAACTCCATACTCGGCATCTTGTCTGGACCTATTGTTTACGAGCTGCGAGCAAAAGCTAAAAGAGATCAGAGTCATCGAACCTCTGGTGAACAGTGACCACTGCTCTATTGTAGCAAGCTTAGAACTGTCGTTACCATATTACAATCAACAGAAGCCGACATTCAACTATTGGAGGACGGACTTCAACGGACTCGTCCAAGCCGCAAGTCAGACTGATTGGACACTGCCACATGATGCGTCACTTGAGGCGTGGTGGTCATTAATAAAGGGAAAGCTTAACTCGCTCTGTACTCGGTTCGTTCCCCTTAAGTATCCAAAAATCGGACCTGTCAA